ATGTACTACAAATACATGTACATGTACATGTATTAGCAATTGAATGCTTTGGTGTGAGAGAGAAGAGAGAAAGAGTGAGGGGGAGAGCAAAGCTTACATTAATATGAGGAGGACATGCTACAATGCTACTGACCACCCCACCATGAACTGCAATAGTGTGGAACAATATTCCTTTGAAGAGGTCCCACAATCTAACAGAGAAATCAGGACCACCAGATAACAAGTGATTGGTATCATAAGCAGTGCTATAGTCACAGGATACAACAGGAGGGGACTCTCCTCTTGTGACCTCTTAAGAAATAATACTGAGACCATGCTATAGAGGAGAGGGAGAGGAAATGAAAAAACAAAGGTGATACGTACATGTACATTGTAAATACATGTACACGTACAACTGTACATAAGTAGACTACAGGCATAATAAACACTTGGTATTGCTATTTCTACTGAAAAATATCCTATTCATATTGCATGTAATTACAATGTACATGTACATGTATGAATGCATGTACATACATGGACATGTATACAATTATTGTACATTTGTATGCAGAGTACCTCTTGAGAACTTTGTGTTGGCTAGTAAGAGTTTGGTAGTTGCTTGAGCTCCTGATAGAACTATAATACCACCATTGGACAATCCACAGATCAACCGACCGAACTGTGTCAAAAATAAAGAAACAGTAATATTAGAAGAAGGACCAGCACTGATACTGGGATACTAATGGAAAAAGAGAGAGGGAGAGAGATACAGAGGGAGAGAAAATATAAAGAATTAATGCACATTTAAAACAATAAAAAAAAAATAGAAATAAAGATCATATAATAGAAAGGATGAGAGAGATGGAGGGTTGAAAAAGAGGGTACAGTACATTGTACATGTACATGTAAGGCTGATAATATTGGAGGGAGTGATTTGGTGAATTTTGTTGATTGGCAGGTTTCAATTTGACAATTTGTGGCCATGTCCCATTGAGCATGTAATGATTGCAATGGTTGGGAATTCCCAGGAATATGATAACTGACAACTGAGTCAATAAGGGAACAAGAAGTGGCTGGGGACTGCCATGAGTCAGAGAGACAGCCAGTGAAATGAGACTTGAAATCAGGAGCAGCAGAACCTTCCTCTCAATGAAGCTTACCAATGATAGACTCCACACCTGCAGCTAATGATAAAAAGGAAGAGTATAACTATATAAAATATATTATCACAATTATTAAAATATATTATCACAATTAAGTACAATTTAATGTGGGAAACCCTGATTTACATAATGCTCCATTAATATTATCACTACCTTTATTCCATAATGCATTCCATTTCCAAGATTATTGACAGTCTTAAGACGCATCCCATCTTTACCATCCCACAATGCTATGAACCTATTAATATAACATTAATAACTAGCCACACCCCTACCACATCAACACACCCATTTTTACTAAGACTGACAATCCTGTCCCTCTCTCCAGACTCCATTCCTAGTAAAATAATAGCAAGAGTGGATAATTACTCTTGATAATAGTCTGAGACATAACTAGAAAAAGATGGGTGTTAATTGGAAATCGTGGTGGCACTAATTAAAATGATACATAAAGGCTTTTAAGTTTTAAGTGATAGTGATAATTGGTCTAACCACAAATTCTCCATTGATTCTCTTTCTGTACAAGTTCCAGATACAAATCTGTCCCGTTTTAGTCCCAGTAGCTCCTCCTTTATCCTCCTCTGTCCTATTAAATACACAGTATAATAGACCCCCTGCAGTAGGCGTGGTCAATGTTTGTAGGCGTTTCATGTCGGCCATGTTGGTGTACATGTGTTGCATGCAATGACTGCAAGAGACATAGCTTTTTGCCAGGATACTTTTCCTGTCTGGAAAATCATGATGCCAGGAAGCAGTACCAAGAAAAAATCTCTAGTATTAATGGATTGGATCTTTATGAAACATTGAGAAGTGATTGGTTGACCTCATCAGGCTCAAAATGACTATGCTAAAATGCTTTTTATGCTTTTGGAGTTTTAGTTAAGATAATTTTAGTATTAAGGCTACTCCACAAGTTGTTGCTAGACCCTCAATACTGCACAAATCTCTATATGCATGATTTTCATTGTTTTCTTCTCTTGATTAGTGTGTTGTAAGCTTGAATAATAATAATAATATAGATGGTATGCATGCATAATAATAATGATAATATAGATGGTATGCATCCAGCCCAAAAT